AGGTAGGCGGCATTTTGCTGCACTCCCCGATTTTGTTTTTATACTGCCAATGCTGGAAAAACACTGATTGGGCTTTCCTGCAGATTTGCACAACTCCTATTTAAAAAGTGCTACAGTAAGAAGCTAAAGCCGAACTATAGGCTACAGATCACAGTGTAAAGTGAACCACCAACGTTCATCTGCACACACTGTGATGACACAAACTGTGATGACACAAACTGTGATGACACACACTGTGATGGGTCCATGTCATTGGTTCGACATCCCATTAGTCCGACTGTCCGCGGTGCTGAACGGCTCGCGGTGGGAGTATGGTGAGCCGCGACCGGCTTGAGGCAGAGCAGGCTCACGGCTTATGTGTTTGTCACTTTCTTTTTCATTTTAACCCACACCATGATCTTTTACTGACCCTAACCAAATGATTTTTGTGCCTAAACCTAACCAGACATTAACCACAGGGCATCATGATGATTTCGGAACAGACTTCAGAACAATGAGTTTAATATGGTCGGAACAATGGGATGTCGAACCAATGGGCAGTTCCCCACTGTGATGACACACAGCTGGTCTCCCTGCTTCCCTTCACTGGTTCCTGTACAGCAGGGTCGCTCTTTGTTTCACTGTTAGAAACATTACAAAGCAAAAGCAGCATGTGTATACATTCAGTAGGCTATATCTTCAGTAGCTAGCTAACGTTAGCTAACCCTACACTTTTCAGGGTCTGATTTTGGGAAGAAACGTAGATCTGTTTCCAACCACTGCAGGTAACGAGTGTCATTAATACATGACGTGCCCCAGACACAACATTTAGCTCCACATCCACAGAACCAGCCTGAAGATGAAGGAAATCTGAAACAATGGAGCACAGCTGTGCTGTTGTCCGTCCCTGGTCTGAGCCGGCCCAATGCTACGTTATGATTGCTACAGAGAAAAGTCTGGAGTTCATCCTCTCTGCACCGTGATTACATCATGAATATCCATCCAGGTATTGATGAGATATTTCCCTCAAAAGCATCGAGGTCAACCTGCTCGTGGCGCCAGAGGAAAAGTCAGAGGATCAGCAAAGTCATTTGGGTTCATCCTTGTCTGTACAAACCTCACAGCAATCCACTGAATAATTGGGGAAACCTTTCAGTCTGGAGCGACAAGACACATATGTAAAGACAGATCTAAGATCTAGAAGGAATAAATGAATAAGTTCTAGCTATCTAGTAAGTAAACGGTGCAGGGTGTTTGGAAAATGTCTGAAAAGAATTATTATTATCATCTGCAGTGCGTGGATGAAAATAAACCACTTAAAACTGAGAGACAAGGAAAGAAAAGAGGGACAGAAGGATGGTGGAGACATGAAGCAAAGATGTGATGAGAGCACAATGGTCGCTGTGATGCTGTTGCAAACATGGTGACAGAGGAAACAAGTGCTGAGTCTGAGACAATGTGTGAGATATCCAGTGCATGTGTGTTGTTGTTGTTGTTGTTGGTGGTGTTGGTATTGTGCAGAATGAGCACCAGGGAGTAAATGAGACAGCAGGAGGGATTTCTTGGGCTCATTGCTAATGCATTTACAGCACATACAAACACAGATACCAGACACGAAAGGGGAAATGGGAAAACAAAGAGAATGAGTGGAGGAAATGAGGTGATACAAGGATGGAGGAGAGGAGGAATAAGCATTTATTATGTAGCAGAGAATGATGGAGAGATAACAGAGAAAAGAGAGAAGAGGAAAAAACTGGAAAGGGAGAACGTCCAGACTTCACAAAGTTATAAGTTGCATTGCAAAAACTAGTTCTTCAGTAGAGGTTAGTTGTTTTTGTAATCCACACATACGTCTTCACTGTCAAAATCTGGTGCCTACATTACCCACATTACCCCTGGTGTCTACATAAACACCAAACCTTTGGCTGGAGACATAGTTCGATATGCTAGCAGAGGTTAATGTATCCTGGAGCCTTTGACCTGCAGCAGAGATGAGCAGCGAGCTACAAAGGTCTGGTACAATCATTTCTTTCTGACTCCACACCTTTAGACTTTTTCCTTTTCAAACTTGTAGTCTTTGGACCCAACTGAAAATGACTCAAGTGACATCACATGAGGCAGCTTTCCTTCACAGTAGGCTTTTACTGCTTGTTTCACATACGTATTAGCGCTCGCCAACACCTGGAGAAACACTTCAATGTATAAAACTGCCAGAGTTCCCTTTAAAGCAGACTGTCCTCACAATGTTTGTGTGTTTTCCTACGAAAAGCAATGCACCTAAATTCGAAGATATACCACTTATTTTGAAAGGCTATGATCACGTGACCAACGCACTGACAGCAGTAAACAAGGAGGAGGCAGGACGAGTGGTGGATGGGTCACAAAACACTGGACTTTTACCCGGGACCTTTCCTGGAGTTAGATGCTCAGATCCGTGTGAACCTTGTGTGAACTTTGAGTCATTTTAAGGAACGTCCTCAACATATCTCTTTTCCTAAATCTAACCTCAGTAGCTTCACATCAGTTACGCAAGTGTAAATTAAGGTCGTAACATCATTCATGGGGCACACATTAGTAGGATATCATACAAACTATTGAGCGTGCGTTTCTGTAGGATATCATCTGAACTGTTCTATGAGAATACTTTTGTTTAAGAGGTATATAGCTTTTTCACACTGCCTGTTCAAGGCAGGAATGCTGCATCGTTATTCTGCTTCGTCGTCCTCTTTAAAAGGTTCGAACACAGAACGGAGGAAATTGTTGTTCTGCCTTTGAGCCGCCAGCGGAGTCAGTAACAAAGCCGGATGGATTTAATTTACAGTAGACAACAATAATGATAGGCTAACTGTTACCCATGAATTCTTGTGTAATCATGTGAGCTAGCTAAAATCACTGTGCAGCACTTATCCATAATGACGAGGTGAACAAGTAAGCTAACATTTAAGTACTTATAAAACATATTGGTAGTTAGTCGTATTATTGTTCCAAGTGTATGGACATATTGTGAGCCACAGTGGATCGTTTTTAACTTTTCGGACAAGAGACATACCACCCACCTCAGAAACCACCAACAAAAGTGCAGAGGGTGAGGCTAACACACCTAGCCATGCTACAACTGCTGCTGACTTAGCAGCTACCTGCAAGTGCAAACGAGGGAAGACCCAAAAATATTCAGAGAATTATCTCAACTGCAACTCAGTTAAAGTCTCCTTGGCCTGATAAACACTGGTTTAGGGCGGTGGTTCCCAACGGGTGGGTCATGGTCCAAAAGTGGGTCATGGGTCCATTCTGAAAGGGCCGCACATTAGCAAAAAATGCACTCTATTTTGAAGTAAAGTGAATTATTTCAAAGTGCTGTTTCCTGCTGTAGACTGAGTGACTATGGGACAGCTACTTGACAGAAACAGCAAACTAGCTCGACAACATGGCCAAGTGCATGTATGACGCTGAATACATGAAACTGTGTGGACCTATTGACCAAGAGGAAATCTGGTCCCCATGGCTGGAAGAGTTGGGAACCACTGGTTTAGGACTTTCTTTAAGGGATAAGTTCACATTTCGAATACAAAACAGTGTTTACTTGTTAACAGTAACACAAAGAGGGAATCAGTGCTAAAATCACTATACACACAATATATTCACTTGATGTGAACATCTCAGACTGCTGACGCCAAATGTTCAGCTGAATTTTGTACAGAACAAGGACTCTCAAAATTCGTACAATGCAGCTGGGCTGGAAGGGACTTCTTTATGGACAGGAAAAACACAGCAAGAAGTAAGTCTCTAATGTACATGTCAGGATTTTAGTTCTGTTTTAACAGACTGGCCTTTAAGTTTTAATGGTGCAACCTGATTTAGTAAATCACTTGTTTAAAAGACCAGTGAAAAGACAAATGAATGAATATCTGTTGCAACACAATCCAGGAGAGGAAAAGAAAGGAAATGAGAGGACGGAGAGCTTTAGGAGAGAGCCGAGACGACAAGTCAGGACACGGGATGCAGAATTGGGTGGAGGTGAACGAGTGCAGATAAAGGTGGCAGCGAGGCCGTCTAGAGATGCAGATTAAACTGCACGAGAGCTTAACAGAGCCAAGATAAGGAGCAAGTGAGAGTGGGCCAGCAGAACATTTAGAGAATCAGAGAACAAGAGAAGGAGAGAGAAGAGAGAAAAGAGAGTGTAGCTGCAGGGTGAGAAGGAGTCTCATTGAGAGGGAGAGATAATAAAGAGCTTGTGGAAAGTGGAAGGCATGATTAAAAAGACCGTTCCTGGGTCTATACAAGCATTAATAAAACAGCTAATGCACATCTGTGGGACTGTTTCTCTGCCTCGCTTAGCTCGCGGTCACATGGCTGCAGCATGGATACTATCTTAATAACAGCTTTTCATTTCAGAATTCATTTCAGCAGACGGACGCAGCCTCTCTCCCTCTCTCTCATGCATTATAAATACCCCATTACAACTTGTTGAGTTGCACTCAGGGGCCCTGTGGCATGTTGACGGACCACTCTGCAGACAAAACTAATCAACAGCATCATCATTAGGCGCACCAATGGACAGGCAGCCCGCACTGATTGGGTTATTTCGCCACATCATGTGTCCCCAGGCCTCCGTCTGAACCCTGTCTGCTGGTTCACAATCTATTGCAGCCGAACTCAACTGGGTTAAGATAATGGCTTAATCTAATGCTGCCGAAGTCACGCACAGATACCCCGAGGGCTGGCTGCGTCTCCTCGTCCCCAGATCATATAACAATTAGTCTTCCAGGCTGCGCCGTAGCTGGAGTGTACCAGGAAGTGGCGGGTCTAGGCAGGCCTCTGATTGAAGGCCTCTGGAGATGAGGTGAATGCCAGCTGGCAGTGAGCGCAGGCCAAACAGCCAGGCTCAGTCACACAGATCTGAGGGACAATACAATGCTGGCACACACAGTCTGCTCGCTCTCATTTGGGATGTGTGTCTGTGCATGACAGCATGCGTGTGTGTGTGTGTGTGTGTGTGTGTGTGTGTGCTATTTTAGACTTACTTTAAGCAGATCCTTGTGAAAATCTTGGCCGTCGTTCAGTCCCTCCAGGTTGCCAATGAACTGCGTGCACGACATCCTCTTACCAATGTTCTGCAAGAAGAGAAATGGACTTTTATGTCACACAAATACGTTCACACAGTGGTGGGAGAAGTACTCAGATCTTTTACATAAAGGTCCTGTGTGGATGATTTAGTGGCATCTAGCAGTGAGGGTGCAGAACGGAAAATTCTCTTATGTGCTGAAGGTGTAGGAGAACTACGTATGGTGGCCTGTCTAGAGGCAGTGTTTAGGTTGTCCATTCTGGGCTACTGTAGAAACAACATGGCGGGCTCTGTAGAAGAGGACCAGCTCCATTTGTAGATATAATCAGCTCGTACTAAGGTAACAAAAACACAACAGTTCTTCGCTCCTCTTTATTTTCAGGTGATTATAAACTAATGAAAACACAGTTATGATTATTATGTACGAATACACAGGTGCATAAAATGGAAAATCACGTATTCCCAAACTGTACTTGTCACATTCCACCACTGCTTATACATTCCTAAAACTCCTTCACACTAACTGCTGCCTTCATGTCTATTTCAATGAACTCTCTAAATATTTTATTCATTTTCTAATAAATTTAAAGCCGTGCGACTCCTTCTATTTAAAGTTATTATATTGCTGTCGATGAAAAGCTCATTTTTTTAACAGCCTCTTCAACCCTGTATTTAAAATAACGATGAATTGAAAAGAACATTTGAAAAGAATGAACATTTGACCCCAATCAAAGTCTCTCCTCTCACTCTATAACAAGTTAACATATTAAACATGTGATCACAACACTGACTGGAAAGATTCAAATAGAAATCATTTGGACGTCCAATAAAAACAAAGGCAGCTCCAGATTTAAATCAAAATGGTAAATTTAGGATGATTTTTTTAGGCAATGTACTGTGACGGCTGCTTGGGTTTAAACAACATTAATCATGAGAGAACTTTTGGTTCATTTATGTAGGAAAAATGTGTTGCATTTCTAATAGTCTAATTTAAATCCTGCATGCCATAAATACTGTATATTGACATTATTACATGCATATACTGCACATAACCCCACACATGTATATAAATCAATCTACTGCATTACTTATTAAGTATTTCTGTCTTTGAACTATTTGTCCTTCCTTAAAATTTATAGAAACACTTGTACAGTGGTTTGGCGTTTAGCTTTTACCTACATGTGTTCAGCTTTGTGGCCTGTGTTTTAAAATGTATGTGTATTTCTACCCTCTTGTAAATTGTTCTTGGAACTGTGTTTAAAATTGGAGCAACCTCAAACCAAATACCTTGCATGTGTACACAAAAATGAGCAATAAAGATGATTCAGATCAGATTTTTGTATCATTTAAAGCTGAATTTTGTACCGTTCATCAGGCAAAACATGCAAATTGAAGATATCATATTGGGCTCAGGGACATTAGGATTTTAAATGATCACTGCATTAATCAAAACATTCCCAAAGTCACGGCCTGTATGATCAGTCCTCTCTCACTGTGACAATCATGAGGAGGATAACAGTCACACAAAGTTCAAACCAACAGAATATCTGCAAACATTTGTTGAAACTTTTCCTGATTGGCTCGTCCCTAAAGGAGCTGATCCCTGATCCAGTCACCTCTACAGCAACTTTAATTAATCATTCATCTGCAGAGCTGCACTATCACCGAGAAGAGTGGCCCAGATTTGCAGAGGGAGGCTCTGACTATAAAAGTAGCACATTAATAATGGTGTAAGAGGCTCAGCAGGCAGACCTGCAGATCAGCTGGTGATCGGGCTTATATTCCCAAAACTCCAGGGGTTAATCAAAAGGGCACTGGAGCAGAATAGAGCTTTCTAAACTTTATCTTTTAATTGTTTATGCTTTGCTATGCTTTGACTGCGGCAGCTGCAGTAACGCCACCTTCACACTTACAGTACACAGTGTTGTACACATAAATGTACACCTGCATGGCTCTAGTTCTGACTCACCTGACCGTGTAGATCAGTGTTCAGCAGCATCAGGGCACAGGTGAGAGTGTGAACTGCATCTAAAGGATGAGGTGATAAATATGCTCAGGTGTAGATGTGTAGTTAAAAGCATTCACACTCATTAAAACAAGATCACAAACAAGGCATATAAACAGGTGTAAGGGTGGCAGCGTCCAAGTTTAAGGTCTACTGCAGATTATTTCATGTATAAGGAGCACTGTGAGAGAGCGACAGTCTTCCTAGTTCAGTTCTGATTAAAGGAGCGTGAAGCAACAACCTGTTCTGTGAATGAGTACCAAGGTTATGTGAGGTCAGAGTTAAAAGAGATGAAATATAGGGTGGAAGCATCCGTATCAAAGCTTTGTCAATGAACAAATACCAACGCTGTTCCTGCCTCACAGCCAACTGTGGCCAGCCAGCCTTTAGGTAAGTGTAGCCCTGTGGCTATTATTTCATTCATTTCTATGAAGGCATTACTATTTCATTCATTTCTATGAGGACATTAAAATGTGTTTTGTGTTCTATTTCATTTCTCTAAGAATACTTTAAAATGTTTGTTAAACAGGGCACAAGTTAATGTATAAATATGTTTAAAAATGTTTAAAACCAGTCAATGTATTTACAGCTAAAACAGTCAGAATTCATGGTTGGAGTTATAACCATCATAGTTTGTTTGTTTGTGCAGACCACGTTGTGTGTATGGAGTGTTTAAGCTTGATGTCAGCATGGAATGTCAATCACTTATTCTCTCTTCTCTAATTGGCTTGTTTGTAGTCTTTAGCCGCTCTTAATCTCACCTTGTTGAGGGAGGAGGTGCTTAGCCTGCCCTCCGTGAGAACGCAGGTTAGCTGCGGCAGAAGCTGTACTGCTGTCAGAGCTGGATAAGCATAAAGGAACAAGAATATAACACTCCAAACTACCAAGACTGACGGAGAGTCATCTTGTGGTTGCTGTGTGTGACTTTTGAGAAGCTGCCAGAGGTAAATGCATGTGTTTTAATGTGTATAAAACGAGCTGTAATGCTAATCGCTGCTAGCCTTTAGCTTAGCCTCTCTATGGCGGGTCATACTGTTATTTTGCATTGCATTTAGCACTAGCTCATTTGTTTAAGACATGCTGTGGTTATTTCTCCATGAATTAGCCTGTAGTTTGTTTACTAAGAGGAACTGTGTGGTTCAGGACTGGACATTTGCCCGCGAGAGGGAGAGAGAAAGAGGACCGGGAGGGACCTGGACCGCTGGAGAGAGACTTAGAGCTGCTGTACTGAGCTCCGTGTCGGCACTGTGTGGCTGCACGGCCCCATTCCCCTTGGCGCCGAAACTGCATTGCCCTTTGTCATTTTCCCCTGCTCATCTGCATTACTGACTGTCGGCTGGATTTGTAAGTACAGAACTAACTTTTTGCACGTGCGTTTTTGTTTATGCTGGTTAACCCCAGTGAACTGGCCATCTAGTTTCCGGCCTCCACACTCACAAGCATCGACTGGGCCCACAACGTGTTTATTTGTCTCATTCAAATAAGCCCTGTGTGAATGTGTGTGAGAGTGGGCTGTGGACATTGGATTAAGTGGTATAGTGAACTGTGAATATTTTCATCAGTAATCCATTTAAAGGTCAACAGTGAGCCAGATAAATAATTTATAAATTGCCAATTCCTGTTTTTCTTTTATTAAATGCCCTATGTTTATTTTACTAAATTTGGTGTAGTAATTGCAAGTGAAGTTATTCATTGGGTTTAAAAGGGATAGTGCCAACATTTTTGGTTACTTCAGAAAAGTTATTGGAGGTACCACCAAGTCATTGTATATCACTACCACAGTTGTCACTCACTACAACACCCCCATTAGTATTAACTAGCTACTTGGGACTGGGGATACATAAGGTAGCAGAGATGGGTGCTGTAAGGATCACCTGTTATGAACCTTAGGGCTGAGTGGTAGGCAACGTCCAGGGATTTCACTGTGGAGCTTTTCCGTATATAACATCCTCATAATCCGGAACAGACAAAAAAAAAAACAGATTCTACAATTCTTTTTCTCTGTGCAAAAGGAAAACAGTTCTTATTTCGGTAAAGAGAGCCAAGTAATCAAACTAGTATTTCCTGATTTCTTCGTATCTGGTGTTGCTCTTAGTGTGTAATGAGATTAAATATCTCTGTCATTATATAGTCAATGAGTTATCTGATGATAAAGACATCCACACACAGTGTTGCAAGTTATATTAGCTTATGCTGCTACAAATTCAGCATGTGTTCAGTTAATGTGACGATCGCTCTCTTTGGAGCATTTTGCACCCCGCTGTATAAACTGCCCACTTGTGGCACTCCTATGGGAAGAGTACTAGCAGTACTAGCTAGCCAGAATGTTCCGCTGACTCTGCTGCCCCCTATTGCGCGAGCGATGTATTGCATTTCAAGTGTCACCCGCGTCATTTGCGTTCAATGTGTTGACTATGAAAGGAAGTGCGTTGCTTGCATCGCTTGCTCACATTGTGTGCGTCGACTATGAAACGGCCCCAGTGTCAGAAATTAGCAAGGGCCACGGGCCATTTGGCCCGCAATTTATCCAAGAATGCCCCCAAAAGCCATGTTACGGGGGCCAAAATTGCCCCCAAGTTTTCAAAACAACTATATGTATTTATATTTTTAACAGTATTACAATCTGACATTAAAGTATAATTTTATTTTCATTAAATTAATTTACCGTCACATCTACAACTCATTTTCCAGACATAATCAATGAGATTGCACTGATTACGTGAGAGTAATCTGACAGAGAAGGGGAGGGGGCTTTGCTGTACCATAAGTATAAATTAACCATTTCTTGGGTGATCTGTGTCGACACAATGACAAATTAATGAAAAATTAAGGTAGAATGAATGTTACATTTTAAATTAACTTACTTCCAGGATTGCATCTAAGGAATTTATAGTAATTTGGCCTTTTTAACAGTAAAAGTAACTGTAATGTGGTGAAACATTAGCACTGCTATCAGTAGATTAATGGTTAAATCATCACATTTAAACTGGTTGAATTATAGGAAATCTGAGTGATATTTCGCAACCATAACTTTATGTAACCCATTATTTATTTCATTTATAGTGGTTTCTACTTAAGAGTGAAGACACTATCTTAGTTGGTTTTGCTTTTCATGTGCTTATTGATAGAACATAATTACAATTTTTTGATGGCCCCCAAACATTTTGAAAATGCCCCCATTTTTTAGACTGTGGGGGCCAAAATTGCCCCCAAAATATTTTGTTAATTTCATACCCTGAACGGCCCTTAATGTGGCCTATAATGAGGGAATGAGACAACGAATACAAAATCTTACATATCGATTTAAGTGCAGGCTCTCTGTCTTGGTAAGTAGTATCACCCAGGCCTCGGCCGACCCTGAGCTGAGCTCAGTCAGGTTTTCATCCAGACTGAGGGGCCACTGGCTCTCAGCTTGCTTGTGGGGGTAGTTTATTGAATTTTCTCCATTTTTATGAACCTATAATGTAGTGTTGGGTATTTCTAGTCTTTTATAATATTTATTGTATCCTATTCTGTACATAGATGATTGTCTGTTTTACGTGTGGTATGCTATGGACCTTTCTCGGTGTCCTTAATAAAGTCTTTGTCATTATGATTAATTAGACAGTCAGAATTTCAAGATGGTGCTTAAAATTAATCATCCAGTCAGATACCAAGGTGTTTACACTGTTGGACTCTCTCTGTGGACCTGCCATTGCAGAATGAATACTGAAAGATCAAGTATGAGTCCAGTACTAGCTTGTGATTATGTAACTGAAGCTGGAGCGAATCAAAAGACGATTGTGGACAAAATAAAACTACTTTTCCTGTCAGCTTGTACATAAATGCAATACATGTCAACAGATGTTAAAATCCACGAGCAATATGGCATTCCTTTAGATAAAATTAGCTAACAAGATCACATGCTGTTTATATACATGCTGTTAGCTTTACTAGTTTAGCACTGCTGCTTTAGCACAAAACAAATTAAACAAAATGATTAAAATGTCCTGTCTGTAGAGTTAAACATGTAGTAAACTAACCCATGCTAGTTCATCAGATGCTGTGGAACCATTACAGTCAGTATGTTAATTACAGGTCTGGTGTACATTTCTGTTCATTAGCTCACAGTGTTCCTGCTAGCTAACATTAGCTCTAGCTAGCTAACGTTCGCTAGGCTAAGCTAGTAAACCTGTCTGATGGATTAAAGTAATTGAAACTTATTTCAAGACGCTTGCATTAAAACGAAGTGGTGTGATTATTTGTGGCTTTTCTCATAAATAAACTGAGAATTTTAGAGCTGGTGTTACTTTCAAGTTTGTTTTGTCGTGTAATGTTATGTGTCTCTTTCTGAAGCTTGAGATTTAAGCTAGCTAACGAGCATTAGCTGTTTTGTTGCATTTTCCTGCAACAGACGGTTTCAAGGATGAAGCTGCAGCTCAGTTCACATTATAGGCACTGTCTTTCAGCTGTTTTTGGTTTTTAGCATCTCCTGAAATATCTGTGTTTTAACTGCTGCAGTCCTCACCCTCTGACGGTATGACCTTTGGGTTGCAGTCCCAGTAACGTTTGGAGAAGTGTGACAGCACCCTCTCTCTCTCCTGAGTCTCTCCCATCAGAGCAAACTGCCTCAGGAAAGTCCTGCAGACACAAACACAACCACAGTTAGTAGATCTGAATCATCCAAATATTTAACATTAAAGATATCCTGTTAATAACAGAACTACTGAAACAGAATACAAACACTAGTTTTATTTTAAACAATATGCAGTAACAGTGCTGTGTGTCCTTTTCCCTGGTAAGATGAGTTTTTGTGTGTGTTCACACCATGAGTCACAATAATTCAAGAACAGTATAATTTTGATGTACTTACTTTGTGCTACTTGTAGAGAAGGTTTCTATTTTTCTTTGTTTTTACACCTCTTTTCCTCACTTACCTCACTTCCTTTACCTAACTTACCTCACTTCCTTTACCTCACTTACTTCACTTCCTTTACCTCACTTACCTCACTTCCTTTACCTCACTTACTTCACTTCCTTTACCTCACTTACCTCACTTCCTTTACCTCACTTACTTCACTTCCTTTACCTCACTTACCTCACTTCCTTTACCTCACTTACTTCACTTCCTTTACCTCACTTACTTCACTTCCTTTACCTCACATCATTTCCCCTTTCTTCAGCACTGATTGGGAGGAGAGGTCGCAGAGTTTCTGCTGGACAGGTATTTTTAGTTTGCCTCTAATGTAGCATCTAGGCTATAACGTTATATATGACAACACAGCATCCAGTTGCTAACGGTTAGCCCACTGTAGCTGTAGTTTGTTGCCAGTCACCAGTACTATCTAACGTTAGAGTTTACGATATATTATAAAACTCATCAGTCATCACTGACTCCGGTTGAGTTTTAAAACTCTGGGGTTGTGTTTGACTGTCTTGGTTGTAACGTTAAACTCGCTCTCCTCTTCAGTGTATCTTACGTTACCATGCCAACGCCTACGTCTATCACAGACGCAGCTAATGAGGACGTAATGGAGGAGGGGGGAGTAGGCCTTTGGAGGGAGGTGGAGTTGTGGATATTCAAATTTTTTCTAAGTGCTGTGTGAAATGCAGGAAAGGTAAGATCTGCTTTAAGCTGGACATTTGTTTAATTTGACTGAAGTTCTTATTTTGTATTTGTGTCTTTCAGATTCAAACCCATGTGTGTTTTTTTTTAACGACAGGTTCCTCAGTTTGGAAATAAATCTGTGTGCAAAGGAAAGTTTCTGATTGATGCCCGTGATGATAGACCTCTCCTCATGAAGCTCCTCTTCCTTCACACTACTTTAAACTGTTACGTCACAATATCTCAGAGGGAAATATTGGACTTTTTACTACATTGTCTAACAGTTGTACATGCTGCTCCCTATACAGCTTTCAAAATATGATGTAGGCCCATTTTTCACAGAATAAACTAGCAAGATATAAACTATCTCCACCTCAACCTGCTGCAACATTAAGATAACATTAAATGCTAATACACCAGTAATAATAATAATGATATATCTTACTGTAATTTAAATACATGACAGGAGTCTGCATAATCAGTCCTGTTAATTTTGAGACTTAAAGTTCATTTTGCTGATAATATGTCTACATTTGCTCACAGTTTTTAATGCAAGACTTTTACTTGTAACGTATGACAGTACTTTTACCCTTAAAATCAGTTCCCATGTTTTTAATTTCTGAGGAAAAAGCAGACCTAAACACATAATTGTGGTTGCTGCTCAGCAAATGAGTTAGACCCATTCAAATAAATGTGCAGAAGGTGATGTAGCATGCTCGCTATAACTAACATTCGAGTAAATAAAATAAAAGTGAAGCAAAGAAAATACAGTGTGAATCTGTTAAACAACACACTGAGTGCATTTTGAGAGCTCACTGTACAAACTGTCATGTCACTCTAAATGCAACACCAAAGTGTCCCTCTAGAGAGCAGCGTTTGTCAGTGGAGAGTTTCTACGACAGACAAACAAACATGAAATCTAAATATCAGCAGCTTTTCATCTGATTGAGGCCAAATCAAAGGCACCATCACACAGGAATAATTAGCTGCTCTGTGCTAAATATCCTCTTTAGACTGCAGTCACAGTTTGAACAATGTAAACAGTCAGTTTTGTCACAAGAATGTGTTGGGTTTGTTTCTGGAGGAAGAACACAGCTCACAGACGATGGTTGGTTATTTACCTGACATGCATTTAACATTAACAATTATTGCATGTGATAAACAAACAGTCTGTCCACACTTCACTTGAGAAATATACTGAATATGTGCTGTTCTTGTATGTGTTTATGGTTTCATTATTGTGCTGTGGATTCTCACCGTAACGCCTGGTCGAGACCGAGTCCTGTGAAGTTGAAGAAACTCAGATACTCCTCTGCTACCATACGACTGAAGTCATTGCTGTAGACAGACAGAGAAGATATAAAATAACATCTTAGGACAAATAAAGCAATCCAACAACAACAATAAACCAAGAAGCACAATATGCCAGTCAAACATTCAGATGCTAACTTCCTCAGCTCAGTGAGAGGCCTCAGTTTGGGCTGTCAGTCAGTCACTCAGCTGGAGATGCAGACCGGAGGCCAGTAAAAAACAAGGAGGAGATTCCCAGGGTGCTTTCTGTCAGCGAGGAAACACTTTAATCCCAATTTCTTTCTCATCAGCACAGCAAGCAGCTGACAGACTGAAGGGCTGATCGAGCAGCGCAGCTTCGCAAGAATGCAGATGTAGTAAAACACAACACTTTGTAGGCAGAATGTAAAGTGGCGTACAGTTAGTGTACAGGACACTGAATGTGCACCAGCAGAGTCATTAAATAAACATAAGATGCAGTACTACAGTTTTAGAGTACCTAACGTGTGAGTTAAGAGGAGACTTGCACTGATGACGACGTTATGATGATGATTTTACACTTCGTTTTTATAATTATGATTTTTATTAAGTTACTTTTTTAACTTATTACTGTACATTACTTTTGTTTAACTTCATGATCTGTGGACACACTGCTGCTTGTTTTTAACTGTGTCTTGTAAGGTGTGCTTGAGTGCTTTGACAGGCGCCTATAAATAAAATCATTATTATTATTACACTCTTTAGGATGATTGTTGTGGTGTTTGAGGTGGCAGCTGTGAGAAGGAGCAACACATAAGCATGACTACAATATGTCATAACAGCAGCTCACTTCTTGCTGAGGTGACGCGCCACATCGGACTTCCTGAAGCCGTCCAAGTTGAAGAGACGTTTGGCGAGGCGTCTGGCGGCTGCCACGTCGGCACGGTGGCTGCCATTGGTGAGGGTGTCACTGCTGCCCAGACCCAGCCGGTCACTGAGGTCCTGGTCCAGCTCCGAATCTGTCGCCAGGCGAGCCTTGTCCCTGCTGAGAGGGTGAAGAGAGGGCAGAGAGGGTGAGACATTAAAATCAGAAGTTGTGGAGGATTAAAATCAATTACTACAATAAAGTACTAATAACACTGTAAAAGTCCTGCATTCAAAACCTTAAAGTATGTCAGTACTATCATCAGTGTAGGCCTTAAAGTATGAGAAGTAAAGTACTCATTGTGCAGGTTCCTGTCAGTGTTTTACTGTGATGTGTTTGACTTAATATCCCTGCTGCATCAATGTGTATGTTGCATTTTACTGCTGTAGATGAGGGGGACACAGGGGACATGTCCCCCTCCATATTAAGAACATGTTAGTAGCAGAGGACTTTTATCGTGACTAAATTAAAGACATTTACAGCATAAATTGATGCAGAAAAGACACAAATTTGTGCATCAGAATTCACCAGAAAGCAGGAAATGTTGTGTTTGATGCTAAAATGTTTTGCCATAGGACTCCCACCCCCCATGTTTTATATGTGTCCCCACCCAGTGCTGTTTCTTTGCACACAGTCAGGTCATTGAATCATATCTTATAAGATCATCATATGTTTGTGGTGTGGCTGCTGTGAGAACCATGCGTCTCTAAATAGTCAGAAAAAAAGCCCTGTTTTCGATGCATTTCCAGCTGATCCAAAAGTGTTTTTTTTTTTTTACTTCAAAAATATTAATATTTTGAGAAAAGGAAAACAAAAAACACCAGGGTGGGCCAGATCCCCCGCCCATCCTCCTCCTATCCCCAGTTTTCTCCTTCGTTTAAATATTTCTAAGGCACAATGAATTTAATTTAATGTGCAGAACAGCAACACCATCAGTGGAGTCAGGTTTGACTTAAAACACATTCAGAGCTGATGCTGTTTGGGTGAAAATGAGACAGGAAGTGTCCCCAGGTCTTATAAGTGTTTATCTCTCAGACTGAACAGGCTGTTTGAAAGAGGTGAGTTTTGAGGTGGGAATTGAAAGTGGGGAGAAATGTTGATGCTACGAATGTCTGGTGGGAGGAGTCCTCAATGCGGTGTTTAACTGGGAGCCAGTGAAGCTGCTGAAAGACACGAGTGATGTGATTGGTGGACGGGGTTCTGGTGATGATGTCTGCAGCAGAGTTCTGGACTAGTTGAAGTTTGTGGGTGGACTTGAGAGGGAGACCAAAAAGGAGGGAGTTACAGTGATCTATACGGGATGTAACCTGGGTGTGAACAAGAACTGGCAGCACTGTGCGGTGTGAGGGACGAGCGAAGGCGCTTAATATTGCGTAGATGGAAGTGGGCAGACCGAGTGACATCACTGATGTGAGCTTGGAATGACAGAGTGCTGTCGAGGATGACGCTCAGACTCAGGAGTTAGTGTAAAACTGTTCATCTTTGCTGATGTGGATTTGGTGCCAGTGAGAAGTAACCCAGTTTTATCACTGTTCAATTTGAGGAAGTTGCAGTCAGAGAGGGAGGAGGGCGTGAGGGTGGACAGATAGAGCTGTTCTCTAGTTCTATTTGAGACAGGATGTGGAGGATATCTATCCAAAAGCCAGTGCACCTGGCTTAGCCTTGGGCTCTATGGACCACCTTCATCAGAATAGAGACCAACTGGTCCTCAGATACAGGTCCTACATCCTGTTCCCAGGCTGCTTTAGTCCTGTCCAGAGGTGAACATGTCTGTAGGAGCCATTTCTATGTGAATGTATGTAAAGCACCAAATTGGGCCAGAAGGTGTCCTCGTTGTGTTGGGTGTACATTTCTATATCGGTGGGTCAGTCGTTGCTAGACAGAAGGAGCACACAGTTTTTCGACCGCCCCGCTCTACTAGGCTACGTTTAGCTTGTTGTATGATCTGTCTCACAGCTGAATGGACTTTCTATGCACTGGTATTGGATTCTTGCATGGTACTGAAGATCCTTGAGACGGTGAGAAATAAAGAAAGCATCAAATGAAGAAGCGAATCCAGAAGCTGTTTGTTTCACTAGACACTGGTTACAGTTGTGCAGTAGCAAGCGCGTCGATTAGTTTTAGCCTATCTATGCAGCCCCTCAGTGGCTTTAAGTTTTAGGGTTAGCCGCTACAATGTCAGCATGGAGATGTTTCTATATCTAATTTATAAGGTGCACCTCTAAACAATGGATTTAAGAAACATGTCAATTGGATTGGTATCAGGTTCTACAGGAAAACAGAGGGTTTTAAAGAGTTCATCAAGCTTAAGAAGGAGGAGAATTTCTCAACACATGAAGCAACACATCCTTTGGTTCAGCCTTAACACAGCTGGAGATACAGGGTTTTCACTGGATGACACCTGTAATCTGAAAAGTAACCTCCTGCTATTTACCTCTGAGATGTGGTGGAGTAGATTTTAAAAAGTATCATAAAGTATGGAGTATAGTAAAGTCGGAGTATTGTACTTGAGTAAATGCACTTCATTACATTTCACCACTGACAATCAGACACAAACAGGTGCACAGAAAGAGAAATGGAAAAGATGGGAAATGAACATTCTGGTTCCAGGCAGGAAAGTGGGACAAATGAGACACAGATTTGTAAAAAATTGAAAAGGAAAGAGAGAAATGGAAAAAAGGAGGAACAAAGAAAGATGATAATGTAATAATAAAACTAATAACTCCAGTGTATCAATAATTTAACAATAGCTACTAATATCTGATCTGTGCAGCACTGATCCTAAATCAGAGTCTCCAGCCGAACAAGATGTTTAAAGACAAGAAAATACACAAGGGGCAGATGAAAGATGGCGGCAGATCAAGAGAAAGCAGCTTATGAGAAAGATAATATCTGTTTAATGAAACTAAACGGTGAGAGGTGAAGAAGGATGACAAAAAGAGGATTTAAAGACATATGGGTGGAGAGATGGAAAGCAGAGAGGATGTATGAGCACAAACACGGTCCATATTTCACATTATTGTAAGTTTAACAGAATGTATGCAAAATCATTTTAAATTCAAACACAACATTTGAGTTTTTTACACTTCACAAATCTCTTGCCAGCTCTCTCACTGTCTTGTTATCACTTCCTAATTAAGCTCCTCCGAAGCTTTAAACAGTTCAGAAGTGTGAAACTTATTACATCTGAATTATCCTGTGATAATAGTTTAAGCATGTTATGTCACGCTGAGCTGAAAGAGAACTACTTCTCTGACTTCTGATCGACAGAAACGAGGTCTCTGAGTTCAGTTACTTAGAATTCGACATGACGCTGATGGTCATTGATGCTGTCGAGCGCTGTGTGACAATTCTAGTCATGCCAGCCGGGCTGATGGAAAACAATGACAGTTCAGAGTCGTATTCAAAAAAGCAAGAAACACTTCCTGAACAAGCGGAGCTCTCATTTGGATTTCTCAGCATGAGGAACAAGCCAAGAAAACCCACAGTCCCAGGGCTTTGCTTCCCACACTTACACATCTTTACACTGTAAATGAGTCAGGCCAAATCACACCAGAGCAAACAGTAATTAGTAACACAAGCCGACTTCGAGAGAAAGCTACAGGGGTTCAAAGGTCAACTTTGGTTTCACAAAGTACACAAAAGAACAAGTCTACAAGGCTTCACTGAGGAACAGAAGTGCTTTGATCTAAATGCTAACATTAGTATGCTAACATGCTCATAATGTACAGACATGTTGATGTTCACCATCTTAGCTTAGCGTGTTAGTGCGCTGCTACCGTAACATGCCTGAAACACAAAGTACAGCTGAGGCTGATGAGGATGTCGTAACTTTGCAGGGATTTGGTCATAAACCAGTGTATATGACACAATGAAATGTTGACCTGATGAAGGCACGGAACAAGAAGCCAGATGTTAAGTGATCACAGTCCAGCCTGCAAAGAATGTGAATGTCAGTCACAAATTTCCTGGATGTTCATAATAATTCTTTAGATGTTTCACTCAAACCATAAATGTGAACCTGTTGGTGGCGCTAAAGTTATTAAGCTGCATCATCTGGGCAACATAGTTCTACCAAATTTCATGGCAAATTAATTTCTATATAAATCATATTATAAATTTATAAATAAATAAAAAACAACAGAAATGTGAACCTCATGGTAAGGCAAGAGGAAAAGTCAGAGTATCACCAACATCATACAAATTTATCCTCTGGGAACCACAAATTTGGTGCCGATCCATCAAGTAGATGTTGAGATATTTTACTAGATAAATGTACATCTTTTACCTGCTGGTGGCGCCACAGGGAAAGTCAGGAGGTTAGAACAGTATATTAGAATTCATCCTCTGGGGACCATGAATGTCTGCACCAAATGTTATAGCAGTGGTATAGATTTGGTGTTAAGACATTTCACAAAATAACAAACCAAAAAGCCCAAATGTGAACCTCGTGGAGGCACAAGAGTAAAAGTCTGAGCATCACCAAGGTCATTAGGTTTTTGCATCCTCTGGGAACCATGAACATCTGTACCAAATTTCATAGCAATGTATCCAATTGGTGTTGAGACTTTCTCCAAAATAAAACCAAATATCAACATTGTGGTGGAGCTAGAGCATCACCAGAGTCATTATAATTTATTATCTGGGGACCATGAATGTCTGTACTAACGTCTGTTTGTACTAATCCATCCAGTAGATGTTAAGATATTTCACTGGATAAGTGTAATCTTTGACCTGCTGGTGGCACTAGAGGAGAAGTCAGGTGTCACCATGGTATATCAGAATTCATGCTCTGGGGACCATGAATGTCTGTACCACATTTCATAGCAATGTATCGCACTCGTGTTGAGACAAAAAAAAAAAAAGACGAAAAACAAAACAAATATCAACCTCTAGATGGTCTTAGATGATCACCAGAGTCATTAGGATTTATCATCAGGGGACCACGAATATAAAATAAAAGATGTTGAGATATTTAACTGGATAACTGTGATCTTTGATGTGCTGGTGGCGCCACAGGAAACATCAGAAGGCAAATGAAGTACATCAGAATTCATCCTCTGGGGACAACGAATGGCTGTACCACATGTAATAACAAAACAAACCCACACACAAATGTC